TAATATATATTTTTTATTTAACGATAAAAATTATTAATTCAATATAAAATATTAATTTTTATATTTAATATATAAAAAATATATTTTTTAAAAATATAAATGAACACATAACACCAAAAGTGTTTAAAGGAAACATCAAATACATCGAAACTGTGGTGAGACATATGCTTTACGATTTTATATTTTTATTACTATCTACATAATATTACAAATACCATTTTAATTTATACTATATTACACAAATATCATTACCTTGCAATTTAATCTTTTTACCTTTCTACCATATTCCAAGATAATAATAATATTTTTAAAACTCCGTGCAAAAAGTAAATGGATATATAGATATGAGATGGAAGGAGTATATACTTATTAAATATCCAATTTTTTTTAATTATTTCTAAAAAATTTTAAAAACTCTACAAATTTTTTATCAAATATATATATATATATATTTTTTTTTGACTAAAATCAATAAAACTATTGGTAAAAAAGATTTAAACATAAAACAATGGAAGAGTCATTATTATAATTTGTAATTCATTTTCATCATTCTCATTATTAAAAAACTCATCAATTTTGGTCCCAATATAAACAATTTCAATCACTTTTGGTCCCATTATAAATAATTTTTATCAATTTTGGTCTCACCGTTAAAAAAACTAACGGAAATTGCTGACGTGGACATGACGGAGCTGACGTAGCAGTTGACCTGGAAAGTACACCGCCATGTACAATTATACACGGCCATGTTGTTACAGGGCCACTTATATTTCAGTGTATAATTATACATGGCCACGTTGTTACACGACTATGTACAATTATATACGGCCATGTTGTTACATGACCATGTATATTTCAGTGTATAATTATAAATGATCATATTGTTACACGGCCATGTATAATTCTACACGGCTGTGTATATTTCTGTTTCAATCTAAAATTTTAATTTTTTGTTATATTTTTTATTTTTTTTTTAATTTAGAATAGTTGATATAGTTAAAATGAAAAAAAAATAATCATAATATAATTAAAATATATCAATTTTAGTTCAAATATAAGTATTTATCGAGTATGTTGTTTTGGAAGATTTTGTCTAAAATTATACTATTTAGCAAAAAGTTCAATACATTAATTGGATGTTTGTAAGAGAAATTTTTTTTGCTAAAATAGTAGAATTTTAGACAATTGTAAAATTGTGAATAATGTATTATTGTGAATTTTAGACAATTGGAAAATTAGAGATATTTACAATTGGAAAATTGTGAATAATGTATTATTGTCATTATTATAAGGAGAAAAATAATATAAGGTCACACTTCCACCGTTGAATAATATTTTTAAATATTTTACACTTTGTATAATAAAAAGAATGATCTAGGAAAAAAAAAAAGATCTAGAGAAAAAGATCATGGATAGTAAATTTTAATTTTAATTAATAAAATTTGTATTATGAGTGATCAAAATTTAAAAAATTATTTAAATTTGTAATATGAAAGATCAAATTAAAATCACTCTCCACTTATTTATATTGAATATTGTGTTGAACGAGTTATATCAAGTTACTAATTTATTGAAAATTAGTATTTTGAAATGACTAAAATTTTAAATTGAAATAATTGTTTGATGTATATAAACGATATTTGTTTTATTATTTTGAATGAGAAATAAGTAATAATATAATACTCCCTCCGTAAATATTCGTTTGCTTTTTGCACGAAGTTTTAAAAATATTAACATTATATTGAGATATAGTAGGAATAAAGTAGAAATGACTAAAATAACCTTATTAGTATTGTGTAATATAAAGGTAATGACATTTGTGTAATATATTGTAACTTGTAAGGGTACCATTACTTAAAAAAAAAAAAGAATAAAAAGAAAATGAATACTTTCTTATGTAACAGACTAAAATGGAAAAATGGATAGTTTGTTATGAATATTTTCTTATGTAACAGACTAAAATGAAAAAATGGATAGTTTGTTACGAGGAGGAGAGAATATGAATAGTAGATAAAAATAAATATATAATAGGGATGCATAATGAAAAATTGATTAATATAACCAAACAAATAGATAATTGCCAAGTATCATAAAAATATATTTAATCTAATAATAGGTTAGATATAATTCAATAATTGAATTGTATTGTATTTTCATATATGTATATAAATAGACAAATATATATATATATATATGTATATAAATTATCCTATTGATAATAAAGCCAAGATATTTTAATTAGATCCCCCAAAATTCTTGCTTGAATTATGCCACAATGAAATGAAATAATAATTAAAAATATAGAGTTGAAAGTGGGAAAAAATAAAATAAAATAAAATAAAATATAAATATAAAAATAAATAATAGTAATAAAGTGAGCATAATGGATGGATGACTTTTTTTTATTTAATTTAAGAGTGACCTATTTTTATTTTTATTTTAAATAAAAGGGTGACTTATTTTCCTATATTGAAAATGAAGGCATAGAAAATGATAAATAACAAAATATCCCTATTTTAGTCTATTTTTAATTTAATTTATTTTGGCCAATTATAATATAAGTTTATAAATTATTGCAATAATTATCTCTACTTAAGAGGAGGGCTTGTCAATTAAAGAGATTTTCCAAATCTTGATGTGATGGTGAAAGCCAATTTAAAATTAAAAAAATAAAAAAAAAATAATTAAAAAATAAAATATTGTGTGGTCATTTATCTTCTCATTATGTAATTTTACCTACTTTGGCTTGCCTTATCATAAAAATTATCAATTGTGTTTGTTTGTGTTTTTATTTTTAAGGGTAATTATTATTTTTATTAGACAATTTTATTTGTTTTATATAAAAATTAACTCTTTACATTATTTTTTAAGGATCAAGGTAAAATAGAGTTTGTTTATCACTATAAATATTATTAAAAAATATAATATACTGTATATTCTATTTACTTAAAAAATTCAATAATTTAATATAAATATTATTTTTTATATTACTAATAGGATTTTGTGTACCTAACATAAATTAAAAAAAATAAAAAATACACAGGGAAATAGATTAAAAAAATTGCATCAAATGTAAATAGATTGATTTTAGAGATGACTAAAATAATTATGGAAAATATTAATTAATTAATGTCAAGATTTTTGTGTTTGGGCCGAAAATTGACTCAATAAGATAACCGGGCTTGGTCTCGAGTAGATTAGATTGATTAAAAAAAATATATTGAAAAAATAAACACAAATGCAGTAATAGAATTCAATAAAAATGTATTTGATATAGAGAATGAAATCAGAAAAAAAAAAAGAAAAAAAAATTCAACATATAATTGAAATTGACTATTCTGTTTAGTAAAGTAGAAAATTAATTACAAATAAAAAAAATATGATTGATAATAAAACGATGAATCGATTAGATTTTCAGGTCAGTTTGTTCAGATTTCGGATGACTTGAAACTAAGTCAGTTGACTTGAACCCGACTCAAAAAAATTATTGTCGTGTTCGGGTGTAGAGTTTCGGGTCAAATTCCAGGTTCAGATTGACATTTTTTTTGTTATACTTATGGTTCAATCCGACACGAACACAACCTAAATACACAAATTGACACCCCTAAATTTGGTTGTGTTTTGATGCAAAAAACTTGATAATAAAATTGAAATAACGAGCTTGATAATAAAATCGAACCAATTAGAAAGAAAATATAAACACAAATGTAAAAGCTATCTCTTGGCACATCTTTATTGTTCGAAAAGGATGCCGTAGAGGTTACCTCAATACTAGTGTGGCATAAAATATTCAAGAAAGGCTCCAAAACTCATTGAATTGAACAAACCAAAGGCAAATCGATCGATCCTTCACTATCTTACAAAATACACCATAAATTTACATTAATCTTTCATCTATCAAACTAAGAGTAGTTGTTTTTACAATCTTTAGAAAAATCACAAAATATTCTTCTATTGAACTACCCACGAGCGAGAGGATAAAAAAAAGACGACTTGGGAAAGATAAAATCACAAAATATGCCAAAAATAATTTGGAATTATGAGAGCAGCGGTGCAACACATCCATATCACATAAATCAACTCTAATTAAGATCAAACGGTCGGGATTGAATCAAAAGAATGAACTATCACAATTTGACGATGGTGAATAATGCGCCAAACTGGATTGTGTCACAAAATCGTGCCAAGAAAACACATTTGGATTAAAATAAAAAACACAAGGCTTCGGCGCAACACATCTATATATCATCAACAAATTCTAATTAAGATCAAACGGTCAAGATTGAATCAAAAGAACGAACAATCACAATTTGAAGATAGTGAGTAATGCGTCAAACTGTATTGTGTCGCAAAATCGTGCCAAGAGAACACATTTGGATTAAAATAAAAAACACAAGGCTTCGGCCCAACACATTTATATATCATAAACGAATCGTAGTGCGTCAAACTGTTTTGTGTCGCAAAATCGTGCCAAGAAAACACATTTGGATTAAAATTAAAAACACAAAGCTTCGGCACAACACATCTATATAACATAAACCAATCCTAATTAAGATCAAACGGTCAGGATTGAATCAAAAGAACGAACGATCACAATTTGACGACAGTGAGTAGTGCGCCAAACTGAATTATGCACAAAATCATGCCAAGAAAACATATTTGGGTTAAAATAAAATATGCAAGACTTCAATACACATCATGTGCTAACTCAACATGTTTTCTTGGATATTTTGGTATTTAGGCTTCTAGATGTTTTGGGTAATTTTTGGGCTTTCTCTTCTCACTTTGGGCCGGGGCCAATAAATTGGGCTTGAATAGACTTTATTTATAGCACATGAAAATTCATTTGTAGGTTTAAGTTTTGAATTATAAAATGTTGAATTTAATAGTTTTACGATGTCATATGAATAAGTAATAGATATGATATTTTGAATGTAAAATTTATATTTAATGTAATATAAAAAATAAAAAAAATATATATTTAATTAATATTGTTTGAGAAAAAAAAATTTATTTACCTTGTCTTTAGCTACAATTATTCGGCATCGAAGCCTTTAGTTACAACGTTCCTCTAAAAATTATTCCATTATATAAATTCCCAAAGGTTTTATAATAAATTCAACTTATTCCCTCATAACTATAACACACAAGCAACTCTTGCTGCTGCATATACACAAAGTCTCTTGATACATATATATATGTATGTATGTATGTATGTATGTATGAGATGGTACGATCGATCGATCCATCGGGCGATGTAATTAGTCAGCCGCCGCCGGTGTGGCCATTTATTGCATCATCGCCGTGTGCATTAGCATCGTCTAGCAATGGAGTAGGCGCCGTATCCATAGCCGCACCCTCGGCCTCTTTTGTTGATAAGAAACTCGGCTGGTTCGTCGAGGAGAGAAGCCTCGCCCACATCCGGTCCGTGATCACCACCTTGTTTTGATTCGCGTTGATTCTCTGCAAGGTCGATAATATGTTCGTTCGCTTAGCACAAATTAATCGATTTTTCTTGTTTGTATGTGTGTGTATGTATGAATGAAATTGTTACGATGCTGATTAGGACTAATCAACGTATGATTATAATCTAACAGTATATGACAATAGTTCACATAATATAATACATATGTTAACAAAGCACACATATAATGTATTACTTCGAGAGTCATGTGTTTTAAAACTGTTAAACGAATTAAATTGTTCGTGAACTTGGTTTGGTTTAAGCTCGTTTGCAAATGTAAACAAACGGAGATGAACAACATAAGTAAGCTCGTTTTGTTAACAAACGCCTGAGCCTAGTTCGCAAAGATTTTTAAAAAATAAATATATAAAATTATTAATTAAAAATAAACAAATAAAAATATTTTTACCTATCAAAACGAGCTCAAACCCGCTTATTCGAGCTGCTGAGCACAAACACGAGATCGAATAATAAAATTGTTTGACAAACTGAGTTCGAATGCTTAGCGAATGAACATGGGCAGTTAAAAATTCTGTTCGGTTCGACTTGTTAACAACTCTCTATGTTATTAGTTTATACTTTATTTTCTAATTAGGACTAATTATCACCCTAACCATCCCCGATATAAACATATATAATTTTCGCTCTCTATAAATATCAATTTAGATTCAAATTCGACAAAAAAAAAAAAAAAAAAAAAACTCACCGGAAAAGGTATGTAAGCATGCCTCCCATTCACCGGCCCGACGGTGAATCCCGTGTAGCCGGCCATCGCGCCGTGCACCGCGCTGTGAGCGAGCAAAGTGCAATAAACATTATCGGAGGCGTTGCTAGGAATCGCTCGAATCATATAAGTAGGATCTGCAACAAGATATCAACGTATACAATCAATAATCGTCGCAAAATCGAAGAACTTCTATACGTAAAAAACTAACCGATGTATTTGAGGTTAATCGACATCTTGCGCTTGTCGGAGAAGTGATCCTGCGAAAAAAAAAAAAGAAAAAAATCGACGAACAAAGCTTAAGAAAAAACACATTGGAGTTTGCTAAATTTCATCGACGAATCGACAAAACCTTGATCTGTTGTGATATCCAAAGCCCGATGTCTTGAAGAAGCTTGTTTCCGGAAGCGTCCTGTTGGTTCCGGAAGCTCTCCGAGAGCATCTCCTGCCCGGCGCCTTCGGCTATGACGATCACCATATGCCCGTTTTCCTTCAACGTTTTCTCGATGTAGTCGAAAAGCCCACCCGGTCCGTCGAGGTAGAACGGCGACTCGGGAATAAGGCAGCAATCGACGTCTCGACTCGCGAGGGTCGCGTACATTGCGATGAATCCTGAAACCATACGAATATATATTTGAAATCGAGAAGAAAAAAAAAATCCCGAGAGGGCGTAGGTAATATGTACCGCTATATCGACCCATCAGCTTCACGAGGCCAATGCCGTTCTCGACGCTTGTAGCTTCGACGTGGGCTGCGGTGATGGCGCGTTCAGCTTCCTCGACGGCAGAATCGAAACCGAACGATTTGTCGATTACCTGAAACGACGACTCAAGAGATGTAAAAATACAGAGCGTCGCAAGGAAACTATGTGTATGTATCTTTCTTTTCAAGTACCGGAATGTCGTTGTCGATGGTTTTGGGGATTCCGGCGACGGCAACCTTGAGCCCGCGTCGTTTTACTTCCTGTACTACGACGAATAGTTTGTAAAGTCTAAGGGCGTGTTTCTTTACATTCTAAACCTCAGGTTTCTACTATTTGGACTCTACGCTTTTAAAAAAACATACAGTTTTTTCTCTCATAAAACATCTATCGTATATTATTTTAATACCAAACTCAAACCAAAATTTTTTCAAACTTATCAAAAGAAACAAACCCTAAGTGTGATTGTTTAAGCAATGAACGGACGATACGTATATATATACCTCGAAGATTACGGCTGCGCCTTTTTGAGTTCCGTCTCCTCCGATTATGTATACCTAAAAGATGAAATTGTAGGTTACACAATAACATCGATGAAATACGAAAATGGAGGTTTTTCGATTCTTATCGAAAGATTTACTTGGTTAATTCCTCGGTCCTGAATACTGTCGACGATCTTTTTAGTGTCGTGGCCACCACGAGATGTCCCTAGAGCGGTTCCTCCGCGTTTGTGTATGTCACCGACGCTTTTGGGGGTTAAAGCTACGGTGTTTCTAGCATAGAATCCTCGATAACCTCCCTGTAGATTAACAAACTTCTGTAAAAACTCGAAACGCGCCAATTAAAAGGACGAATACGAAAGCATTGAAGAACCGCGAGACTAATGTATATGTATATATGACTCCTCTTATAGTGTTGATTCAGTACTTTAGTATAGTGCTGATAACACATCAAATATATATACAAGTAACACCTACAATATCACATAATAACACATAATTTATAGCCAAAATTGTCCATAACTTTCTTGTGGTTTTGAAACTCTTTATAAATTGCATGTTGTCCTTTTATACTTTAAAAACGTTGCATGAAACCACTCTGTAGTTTTGAAACTCAGCGTAAATTTTCACCTTACTTTAAAAATTGCATGACGCCCCATTATATTTTTAAAAATATTGCATGAGACATCCACGCCTTGCAAAAGATATTGACATGAAACCATCTTTTTATCATACAAGGGAAGTTTCATGGCGGTTGAGTTTCATGCAACGTTTTTTAAAGTATAAGGGGACGCCATGCAATTTTTTAAATAATAGAAAGATTTTATGCTGAATTTCGAAACCACATGAAAATTATGAACAATTTTACCTAATTTATATTAATATAATACAAATACTAACATATGAACTGACATCACATGATAATAATTGATACAACACATGAGATATATTCATAAAACACGCCTTAAAATATGAACTGACAACATATGGGATATATTCATAAATGCATCATCTGAACCCCTACCCATCTCCGTATATATATATATATATACATATATATGTGTGTGTATGAACTCACATTTATACCGAGTACTTTCTTGACGCCGTACATGTGATGTAGGCCGCACACTATTTCGCGAATAACCGTGTTGAGGCCGGGGCACAAGCCTCCACAGGTGACGATGCACGCATGCACATCATCCGACTCGAAATAAACCTGTTAGGATAAAACATTGTGTATTTACGGAATCGCAATTAATGCATGATCATGAAGCAAGGATATAAGCGTTTTTATGCCAATGCCGCAGCAGGGTTTGCGTACCTTTTGTCGAGGGCCGGCGCGCCGAAAGTGAGTCCCTCTCCCGGTATCCTTGTGGACGACAATCTATAAGAATAGTACGGTCATTCGAACCCTTATCGATATAACAGGAATCTTTAGGCTATGTTCTTTTGTGTTGTTTTACTACGGCTTTGTTCTTTATATATATATATATATATATATTTACATGTTTTTTCAAAAAAATTAATGTACTGATATAAAATTTTTTTCTTTTCAACAATCTCATAAAACAAACACACCCTAATCCTACTTCATTGCAAATAAAAATATTTTTCATAAAAAATATCACATTCAACTATTATTTACTTTGACAAAAAGAAAAATATATAGAAAAGAAACATACAACACACACGCCATGCATCGGATCTCGTTAAAATTTCTAAGTTAAATATTTTTAGAAGGATAGGAATAGTATTAAGATGATTTGACATATTGGAAAGTCGGGTTTGCTTCTTTACAAAAAAAAGAAAAGAAAAATACATTTCTCCAAAAAAATTAATATATTACACACATTTATTATTTTTATATTATTTACACAATTTTCTATGTTAAAATTTTTTTCCTTTAAAATTTATACTTAATTTTTTTTTTTAAAAAAAATTACTATTCATTCATCATGTTCTCTAATAAAAATGTAATAGTTCCTCCATCTATTGAAATGTTATCATTTTTTATTTTTATCGTTACAATTTTCTAATTTAGTAATTGTACTCCATACTAACATAATAAATACATTTCCAACTTACACTACATTACACAAATGTCATTGCTTTTATATTAAACAATACTAATATGACTATTTTTGTCATTATTACTACAATTTATTATAATATTAATATTAAAATATTTACGTGAAAAAAGTAAAGGACTTTATTTTAGGAAGCATCACAATTAACCTAAATAAAAATTACAATTTCAATAAAAAAATCACAAATCAAAACACATATATTTGATATGCCTTTTGATCAAGACAAAACAATACTATGAATGGTTGAAATTAGGGGTGACTATTCGGATTTTCGGTTCGAATCCGAAAATTTAAAATTTTTGAAAAAATCAATTCGAACCGAATCGAAATTACCGAAATAACCGAAAATTCAAAATTCGAACTAAAAAATCTGAACAAAACCGAAAAATCAGAAATTTTAAATATTTTTAATTATTTTTTTAATTTTTAAATTTCATATATTTTATTATTATTTTATAATATGAAATATATATATATATATAATATAAAAGTAAATATATTAAAATATAATTAATAATTTTGAGTTTTTTTTATATTAAAATATAATATTTTCTAATAAAATATTAAATATATATAATAAAAAAAATATATTAAAATATTATATTTCGAATTTTGGATTGGTTCGGATTTTAAATATACCGATCCGATACTCCGAAAATCCGAAATTTGTCAAAAATTCAATCCGAACCAATCCGAAAAATTTGAACCAAATTTTAAATTTCGATATTTTGGTCAGCCCTAGTTGAAATTGGTATAGAACAATACAGAATTTGTTTTCATTGAAATTATTATTATGTAATTTTCATAATTATTTATAAAAAAAATATAATTTTATCTCATATTCTTTCACTATTTAAATAAAATAAATTAAAATAAACCATAATAGTGTTTTGTCCGACATCCCTTTTAAAGCTTTGGTTGAGTGTTTCTTCATGTTTGCTAGTGAAGCCAGGTTAGACAGCGACTCACTTGTACTGTTTAACTTTTTATGTTTTTATTTTGTCATTTATTTTTTTTAAAAAAAAAAAATTATAAACTTTAATTTTATTTTAAATTATTTTATTTATAATTCTTTTTAATTTTAATTAGATTAATCAATTATCTTAATTTTAATTTACAATTATTTTTATTATGTAATAATTATTTTTACTAATATATTTTTAATTATTTACTAATTATATATTTTTTTTTTAAATTTTCGTATATACAATAAAGTGAACATTATAGACGGGACTGAAGGAGTATAAGTAAAATGTAAAGTCCATGTATTATTAAAAAGTTAATAATAAAATAATGATATAAATGAAAACAAAAAGTGAATTATTATTTGTTAAGATAGAAATAATAAAATTATAATTGCATAAAATTATTTACTATAAATAATTATACATAAAGTTAGCATATCAACAAAAAAAAAAAAAAAATTAAAAAGTAAGTTTATTTCATTATAATTCAAAATTGATTTAAAACTAACGATTTATTTGAATTTTTATTTAAATATAATGTTTAAGAAAAAAAATATTTTTAACTAAAGTTCCTTATAATTCACTTATGGATAATAAAATTGGCATCATATTTAAAAATTGACTTGTTTTAAAAAATATTATATGGAGTTTTTTAAAATTTACATAAAATTCTTTTTATTTTTAAAAATATTATATAAAATCCTCTAAAAATGAATTTTGTGCAATTTTAGAATCTCATATAATTTTTAAAATATATATATAAAAAACACTTTTTAAACCAAAATAATCATAAATAATTTGACTTATTTTTATTAAAAACAACAAATGAACTATAATAATTTCAAATTAAAATCTACACAAATACATATATTCTTACTAAACAAACACACAGTGAAAATAAATTAATAATACTTCTCGTCCCATAATTATCTATCCGTTTGATTAGTATTATATTAGAATACAGTAAAAATAAAGATAAAAAGACTATACTAATAAAAAATAATTATATTTGTATAATATATCAAGAGTATCTGTAATGTTACATAGACTTATTAAAAATAAATAAATACTCCCTCCGTCCCATTCCCATTGAAAGGTTATCATTTTCTATTTTCGTCCGTCCCAAAACAAGATTACCATTTCCTAATTTAGTAATTGTACTACCATCCTAACATAATTATATACTTTTAACTTACAATATATTACACAAATACCATTACTTTTAGGTAAAATTGCTTATAACTCCCCCGTGGTTTCAAAATTCTGCGTAAAATCTCCATGTACTTTAAAAATTGCATGGTACCCCCTTATACTTTAAAAAACGTTGCATGAAACTCCACCACTATGAAACTTTCCTCGCGTGATAAGAAGATGTTATCCTATCTATATGTTTTGCATGACATGGGAGTTTTATGCAATATTTTTTAAAGTATAAGTGAGCGTTATGCAATTTTTTAAAGTAAAATGAGAATTTATGCTAAGTTTCGAAACCACAAAGTGGTTTCATGCAACATTTTTTAAGGTATAAGAGGACGTCATGCAATTTTTAAAGTAGAAGGGGAATTTACGCTGAGTTTCGAAATCACAAGGGAGTTATGGACAAGTTTGCCTTACTTTTATATTATACCATACTAATAAGGGTATTTTTATCTTTTTCTTATTACAATCTAATATAATATTAATATCCAAAAATTTACGTGCAAAAAATAAATGTCAACATCTGATAAGACGGACTAAAATGAAAAAAAATAGATACTTTTGTTAAAGGAAGAATAAGCGATAAAGTTTCGATTTATATGTAAAAGAAAATGTACAATTGTCTCAAGAAAGGCTGACCTTCTGCGCAACGGTGTCGTCATAATCCACGAAATACTGTCTGCACCAAAGAGAAGAAAAAGTCGAACGAACTTCAAACTACTGTACCAAAACGCACCGCAGAGAAACCAAAACAGAGTTGTATTGAAAATTTTACTCACTTCACAGCAGAGTAGGCAGGATTGTCTTGCAAAGGATTCTGATATGTCTGCCAAAACACCAAATCGAAATTTCAAAAGCAGCAAAAAGGAACCGCCAGAAAAGCATATTCCAGAACATTCTAGATTTGTTCCATTCGTTTCTACAACTCAACTAACAATCACACAATCAGAGTGCAAATCAGAAGCTCACAGCTACTCGTACAAGCATGATTATGATCGGTGATGATTCGCACTTTTATTGGCGGTAGTGTAAAGCAAATCCAGAAGAAAAAGGCAAAATCAATACAGGTGAATTTTGTTTTGTTTTGTTTTAGTTTATTTTATTTATTTTTGAATTTCAATTGCTCGATGAATTTACAGATGAAACTGAATTGAATCGTAAACGAACTGATTTAGATGCTGTTGACGAATTCAGAGATGAAGAAACTATGGCGTTACCGGAAGATCGGGTAAGTAGTCAGAGAGGTGAGGAACGTCTTCCAGAGTGTAGCCAAATTCGCCAGTAACGATTTTCGCCATGGAATTTTTGCTCGGATTCGGAAACGCGACTTTGTTCCGCACTTCGTGATCGCCGCCGCCGCCGGAGCTCAGCTTCAACACCGCGGCTGGCGACGCAGCGCCTCCGCCATTAGACGCCGACAGCATCGACTTCGAAAACGCGAACGACCTCCTCAACAACAACCACAATTTTCGGGAAAAATCGAAAGGCGGCTTCCAGACCTCGATCTCCTCCACAGCTGGTGAATGAATCGAATCGATCGTCGCCTATTTCAAAGGAGCGGAAATGAACAGGTGGCGGAGCTTTCTGGTGGCGATCACGCCATCGTCACGGAAATCTGGAGCTGACAGTTGAGAATCTCTTCCAATGGGGAGATGATGAAATTGCTGTCTCCAGGCCCAACTTCGAGCTTCCACAGTTCGGTCCAAGTTTTTATGCGTGATGTACAATGGCTGGTTCCTGCCGCGAATTTATAGCGGGGAGAAGAGTGTGGAATCTATTGTGGTTTCGAATTATATTTTAATGTTTATTTTTTTTATATAATTATTAATTCAAACTATTAGTCAACTGTATTTTTATTACTCCAGTTTGTTTATGTAAATATGGGGGGTTTGTTTGTTAAAATTTTACAAGACTATTTTATTCATTCAGAAAGTAAATATTTATTCTGTATACGAATAGGTGAGAATGGTTCGGTTATCTGTAAATATGTAAATATTTGATATCTGAATCGAATCGAATTGAACAAATACCTAAAATCGTAAATCGCATTCGAATAAAAAATTTTGGTTAACCGAAAATATTTGGAGTATTTGTAAATAACTCGAACCCAATCAAAATTAAGAAAAAATATATTAAAAAATAACTAAAATTCTAATTAAATAGAAAATATTTGTAAATATTTCAAATATTCAAACCAAAATCGAATCGAATATAATTATTAATATAAATTTTAAAATACTATAAAACTATAAATACATTCAGTTCGGTTAACCGTACTGAAAAAATATGAAAAATAAAAACCAATCTAACCGAACAAAATATCGAATATTCAGTATTTGTATTCGAACCGATTTTATTCGATTAACCGAAAATTCGGTTCAATTTAGTTCGGTTCAGCGATTTGACAGTTCGGTTCCGTTTTTGTGTCCACCCCTACGTATACATTTAGCCTTTTAATTAGGGACACGATTATTTAGATAGTGTAAATTAGTAAGTTACTAATGATAAGTTATGAGAATATTTTATTATTTTTACATAAATAGTATTATTGATATTTTAAATATTTATGGCATTATATCAAAAAAAAAAAAAAAAATTGAAGGGGATTGTCTGTCCCAAAAGTTTTTCTATCCCTCTATCACATTCAATAAAAGAATGACATGTGGTGGAAACTAATTTATTTATTTAATTTTTTGGGTAAATTATATAACATATCCTTGTATTTTATTAAAAATGCACAAAATACCCTATGTTTTAATTATTGCGTAAAATCCCCTTGTGTTAATGGAAAGTTTGCATGAAACACCCTCTTTGTTCAAAACTGATGTTTGGTTCGAAATAAAGACTTAAATTACGTAAATTTTGTACAAATAAAAAACATAAAATATCTTAAATAATTTTTTTAATAAAATAAATAAATAAATAATTGATCAATCATTTATTTTTATAATTTTTATAAAAAACAGACAACAATTTATCTCCAAAAACTATAAAATGAATGATTAATAAATTATTTATTGGGATATAATAGGAATAAAGATAAATTACTAAAACAACCTTATTAGTATGTGTGATATAAAAGTAATGACATTTATGTAATATATTGTAAGTTGTAAGGGTATTTGTAATGTTAGGTAGATAGTACAATTACTAAAAAAAGAAATGGATACTTTGTTATGGGACGGACTAAAATTAGAAAAATAGATACTTTGTTATGGGACGGAAGGAGTATAAAAAAAAAAATTAAATATAAATATAAATATTTATTTATTTAATTACACCATTGTTTAAGATCGGTGCTATCCGAGATCTCGGCACAAGAGAACCGGCCGTTGTCTACTCAAATTATGTGAAGAAAGATAGAAATAAAAGAATTTTGAGTGACATATTTATAAGAAGTTAAAAATTTAATTAAATTAATTTTTATATATTAAGTATGTTTAAGATGAATAAATTTATTAAAATTATAAATGAGTCATGTTTATGGAATGGATAAAAAAAATAAAAAAAATAAGTCATTTATAGCAGTACAAAGAGAGTATTTTTGGACAAAATTTAATAAATATTTTATTCATCTTCTAAAAATGTATCTATTTTTTATTTTGTTTGCCTATTAAAAATATTATTATTTTTTTATTCAGTAAAAATTCAAATAAGGTTTTTTTTTATATATTTTTTACTATTAAAAGCAAAAAATAACAGAATATATTAATAAAAATTTTACATTAAACCCATGCCAAAAAGATTTGACGATATTTTGGTGAGACGGAGAGAGAGTATTGTATTTTAATTATAATTGATAATAATTTTAATATGCAAAACTATTTTATTCTTATAATGTGCAAAGTATTGTTAAATATTTATATAAATAAGTATGAATGTGATGATATTTGTAATGTGTTGTGAAGTCTATATATACAATAATTTTTTTTTAATATTTTGTGTTTAGAAAAAAAAAAGGTTAAAATATATACTTATCAACGGAATGAAAAAAAAAATAAAATATAGGGTAAATTGATTTTTTAGTCCCATAACTGGATCTCTTTATCATTTTAATTTCGTAAGTGGAGCATGTCGCAAACTAGTCCTATAAGTGAAAATTTTTCGCTGTTTTAGTTCTCCGGCGCCGGAGACGCCCTCGTAGTTCGCCGGAGGTGATGTGTCAGCCAGGTCAGCGACACCTGGCGGACACATGGATTTTTTATTTTTTATTTCATTTTTTTAATTTTTTAAAAACTTATTTTTAATTTTATTTGTATTTTTTTATTCGGTCCAATTAAAAAAAATTAAAAAATTTAAAAATATTAATAATAAAAAAAATAAATCCACGTGTCCGCCGGGTGTCGCTGACCTGGCGGACACGTCACCTCCGGCGAGCCACGCGGACGTCTCCGGCGCCGGAGGACTAAAACAGCAAAAAATTTTCACTTATAGGACTAATTTGCGAAAGGCTCCACTTACGAGATTAAAATGATAAAGGGGTCCGTTACGAAACTAAAAAAATAGTTTACCCAAAAATATATTATGTAAAAAGTAAATTAACAATAGTCATGCTTAGAAAGTATAACACCATTTTTGTTGCTTCGAAAAATAAAAAATAAAATACCATACTAAATGTCCATTTATATCATATTAAATATTTATTTATTTTTTATTTAATTTTACTATTCTCAAAATAAGATAAAATATTTTTAAAATAAAATCAAATACATATCTAAATACATTTTGATATTCGAATTCTGAAATAAGAGTGCACTTTTTTAGAATATAGTGAAAATATCACAAATATGAAGGTGTGTTTGTTTGGCGAAATTTGAGTTTGGATTTGATTTTTATTTGAATTTTGAGGTGGATTTGAATTTATGTGTTTGTTTGGGTTGAGTTTGGAGAGTTTTGATTTGTATTAATTCGATGGATAATGAATAAAATAATATAAATGTGTATTAAATTCAATTGATAAAATTTTTATATTGTATGATTTGATTATAATTTTTATATTATATTCAACATATATATTTAAATTTTTATTTATTTGTATTATATAAAATTTTATTTTTTACAAAATGACATATATATTGTATATATTTTTTTATCCTATTATAAATATTAAATTATATTTTAATTTTTTGAAAAAAAAAAAAAAAAAAGTCTACTGGTCAGATGATGTCGGCTGGGTAATGAATAATCTCAGGTTGTACAGTAAAAACCCCTCAAACTGGGTTAAAAAAACACACCCGAAATATACAAAGCCTTTGTTTAACTTTTTATTAATTCATTTCTAATAAAAATGCATTCTTTGTTGACAAAGTGTTATTATAGTTATTTTTTACAATTTTTTTTTATTTACAAATTTTGTTATTAATTATTGATAATTATGGAAGTATTATAAAAAAATTATGATAATGATATTAAAATATTTATTTTTATAATTTTCAAAAACATTTTAATAAAAGAAATATTATATTTTTATTTAGAAAATATGAATAATTTCTATTTTCTGAAAACAATATAAATATTAAAAGAACAGATCCTTGTGTGTAATTTTTATTTTTTGAAAAGAAAATGAAAGTAGGAAAAGAGCATGTTCGAATGAATTTTGAAATGGTGCAAATATATTTGATCAAAAATAAATTAAAATGTGTATTTTAAATAATTTTAAAATTATTAGACTTTAATAAAAAGAATTAATATATAATTTTTTTTAAATAAATTTATATGAATTAGATATAATGGCAATTATTTGGTTTTGATTTGAAATTTAAATGATTATTTAAAAATTTTAATTCGAATAATATTTTGATACAATATAATATTTTATAGAAAAATAATACCACTTTCGTCCGCCTCTAAAAGTCTCATTTACTTTTTGCGTGTTGATTTTTAAACATTAATTATTATATCAAAATATAGTACAAATTAAAAAAAAAATTGCAAAAACACTTTAATTAGTGTCTTATAGTACAAATATAATGACATTTTTTACAAAAGTTATACAAATATAATGATATTTTTTTTAATGTTAAGTACAATGACGCAAAATGTAAAAGTAATTCTTAGAGACGGACGGATTGATCGATCGAGTATATTTTTATTCGAAACAGTGTACAATAAATAGTGAAAATTTTAGTTAAAAAACACACGCATATATACATAATTACTATAAATAAATTTATATATATATATTTTTTATCACATTTATTTATTTCTGAAAATCAAAGAAATAAAACTTAAATTATTTACAAAATGATGCAATTCAAGAGTATAATAATGTTAAGTTGTAATAAAGTATACCGGCGGTGACGTTTATGGCCTAATTGTTTCTATAATTTATTTAAGTTTTGAAAGAGAGTGCTAATTAATTAATTAATTAAATATTTAATTTAAATTAATTTGGGGTGTGATAGAACATGAGAGATGACGTACAATGTGGCGCATCCCACACAATAGGGAACTTGAATACGTTGAGGTCTGTTTGTTTAGTAATTTAGAATGAGGTATTTATACAATTCCTTTGTCTCATAACTAGGTATTCATTTTCTTTTTCACGTAATTTTAGAAATATTAATACTTCCTCCGTTTCATATACCGTGTCTGCTACACTGTATTTAGTAGATAATTAAGAATGTATTAGTGAAAATAATTATCCTATTATATAAATAATTATAAATTAAGATTAAGATACCTAATTACTTTAATTAAAATTTTAAAAAAATAAAAATTTAAAAATTTAAAATAAAATTAAAGTGTGTAATCATTTTCCAAAAAAGGAAAGTGACATGGTATGTGGGACGGACAGAAACGGCAACGTGGACATGGTATCTGGGACGGAGGGAGTATTATATTGG